CACAATTTCTGCTGTGCCTTTTTAGGTACTGGGTGTTGCCCATGTGTACGGTAGCTTCGGATATGGTGGATTCGGTGGCGGCTACGGAGACGATTCGGTGGCTACGGAGGAGGATACGGTGGGCTACCGAGGAGGATTCTTCTTTTCCTTTTCTTTTTTCTTTTCTTTTTCTTTTTCTTTTTCTTTTTTCTTTTCTTTTTCTTTTTCTTCTTCTTCTTTCATTTTTCTTGCAAATGATAGGGGGGCGACCGCCCCCCCCCCTGCCCCCCTGTGGCGCCGCCCCTGGCTAGCAGTATTTTTAAAGTGGGCGGAGCTCCGGGGAAATGCAGCAAATGGCGATACAGCGTATGATTTCAAAGAGGTAACTGCATGGGCGCACAATCCGCGTACTATTTCGTATCACTATGTTATCAAATTTTCCATTAAATAATGGTCCGATTTTTATTATGTTTCGAAGTTTTTATGTTTGAAACTTATAGTGAAAACGCCTAAGACCACACGGAAATGGAACTACGGCAAAATCAAAAGCTTCACTCTCGCCCCCCCCCCATCTGTACGACCCCCCATCTAAGTCGCGAGTTCCTCCCACGTCCCAAATGTCTGCCCTCTGTGTCCCCCGCTAAAATTTCGGACTGTTCGCTGGCAGCCATGGATCCGTGCGCCGACCTATGCATTTGGCGCACGAATCCATAGCTGCCAGCGCTGTATACTTTCGTAGGACGTTCCCGCGGTCACGTGCGCCAAGATCCGCGCTCAGCGGTTACGATCAACACCTCCTTTCGGCAACACTTCTCGGGTATCCCGTCTCATCTGGTTTACACATTCAAAGGTATAAAAGTAATAGACATTGCATACGATGAAGAATTTGTAACAAACATGTTGGCAAAACTAGATGCATTCTACAGAGACCATTTCAAGAGATGTATACTTGATACTTTTCTATATAAGAGCATAAGGAAATACGATTTTCAGTAAGTCAATATACACATGTATCACATTAGAAGACTGTCGGAGAGAAGTTTATATAATCTGGATATTACGTTACATTGACTATGTCACGAGTTTCCTGAAAATTGTATTTGTAAACTCTGTTGTAATTTTTGGTATGAAACGTAAGTACTAGTGACACAGAATATATCCTTAAACTCTTACCTCACAATGTGTTTTAAAGGTGAACAACTGGTTAAAAAGACAATACATTGCTGCATTGCATTTCTTGTCAGAGCAAAAAAGATGGTGCTATTTATGCTGATGTAATTACTGTAAATATGTTAATTATGTTGAGCTATCTGTACAATATATTGAAACCTTTTGATACAGATCAAATAGTTTTAGTGCTTTGTATTGTTATGTTTACAATGTGTCACCCTAAACAACAAATAAATTTGTTATGTTTGTTGGTTAAAAAATAGTTTGAATAACCAAATAATGAAAAATCACATATATATAACACATGAATTTGTACTAATAATTAATCTAACATAACCAAAAACTTACAATAACAAATAAATATAGTCTTAAACCTTTAGTAAAACGTTGCATATATAGACAAGAAAATCAAATCATACCTTGTATTGAAGGAAGCTGGAACTATGCTTGCAAACCGTGTTATGTATCTCACTATCAGAGCCCCGGTCTTTTATATTACTCAAGTTTACCTCGACCCACATCCATTTCCACAAGTGATTTTAATAATCCGGCAGATCCGCAATATTTTTTGTCAAGAAGATGACGGGGCACTTTTGATCAAGACATCATGAGTGACTCGTCCCGGGTTTACACCCACTCAAAATACCTCACATGATATCACTAGTCACTGTTTGCATTTTTGTGCAAATGTCAGGCGGTAAGAAGATTTTATGTGGTTTGTTATTCAACGAGGTCTCGTTGTTCGGGTATGGATCGAAGCATACTATTAATATGAGCAGGCACATTGAGTGTAAATTGCACCGTTTATTTGCTGTTTTAATCCAGACAGACATGATACAAGATTGCGTGGCACATTTTTGCTGTTGATCCTGAGGGGTGCGCGCCAATTTTAGACATGTTCCTAATCCTAATCTTTAAAACTGAACATAAATGTCAAGGCTGTACTAATAGTAAGAGTAAATATAAAATTCTGGGGCGCGTTTCACAAAGCTCCGTTCGCTATATTCTCCGCTATCTCCTCCGCTAACTCCCGAGTTGTCCGCTAAATAGCGGAGGACGCGTTTCACGAACCTCCGTTCGCTAAAGTCGCTCGCTTTTTACCGCACTTTAGCGGACAACTTTAGCGGGAGCTCCTGCACGTCCCGCTAAATTTAGCGGAGCGCTCTATGGTGTACATAAAACCCATAAAATACAAAATTCGCACTAATCTACCATGAAATAAGAGCTTTTGTAATAAAAATAGTCTTGGCTGTTTATCGTGCGTGTTATTGGGAAAAAGAATTTGTTTAAACTCTGCACTAGGAGTATGACAAAGGTTGTGTAACTAGTTTACCATGCATGCAATGATTGTATATGCCACCGATTTACGTAGGTCCTACGCGTGTTGCGAGTATTATGATTAGTACGTTTCCGAAAACGAAAGGCTAACGCTCCATTAGGAGTGTTCCAATCGTCGATTCCACAACTGCGAGCACGAGTGTGTAGCGAGAATCGTGATACAACATACAACAGAGATTTGCAATGTAAAACTGTAAACGAGTATGTAATCTGTAAGAGTTTGTGTATGTATCTCTGCGTGTGTATGTGTGTGTGTGTGTGTGTGTGTGTGTGTGTGTGTGTGTGTGTGTGTGTGTGTGTGTGTGTACGTGTGTGTGCCTG